ATTGCGGTCACTAATAAAAGGGCTATTGATTGGCACTTTGTTTAACACTGGTCCATGCAGTGAGAGCTGCCCTCTAATACTATCCCGACAGCAACCTTTTCCTGTTTGCCAGTCTCTTAATGTCATAAATTATGTCAGTCGATTAAGGAGATATTTCTTCCCTCACGTTTTTGCCCCATCAGTGTAAGGACATTTTTAGACCGTGGCTCCCGAAGAGAGAGTAGAGAGCAACAACTCGGCATCTTGGGTATTATTAGGCATGTTTGCTGTGAAACCCAATGTCAAATGAAAAGATTGATATTAACTTTATTTGCATGAACCCAGTACACACATATATTATGTATACATATATTAATCATCACAATTTGGTTTGATTGTAAATTATTTCAATGCACAAGAATTCTCAATGCATCTCCTCCCTTAATACTGCGCATTTGTAAAAGCCTGTGATGTATGAGATTGTATCTGTGAAATGAATAAAACATTTATCAAAAAAATGACTGTATATCGCTACTTTTTTTTCTCAATGAGTGCTTGAGTTTGCACAAATATCAATGTGAGAGTGATGATGCCTCCAAAAGTTAATTGTAGCTTTACAGACCAACAATGAATGTCAGGAAGGTAATCATTTGATCCTGGCCATTATCAAACACGCAGTGTTTTTCCATGTTGGTTTAACTTTATTTTCCAAACTTTTTTCAATCATCACGTTTTAATATTTTATCTGCACATAGACAGGACAAGAAACTTTTATACCAAAGTGTGTGGGTCAAGATATTTTGCAGCCCTTTAGATGATTTTAAAACCACAATAGTCACTAGAAAATACTGGAGCAGGGCATTTTTGTACATAAAGTCAAGAACACTGATATATGAATACGATGTACTGTAACAGGGAAATGGGCCTTCAGGAAACCATTCGCTGAAGTTCTAAGCCTTAAAGGACATGGCTCAGAAAAAAGTTTTGACACCCCTGCTTTACACTAACGTTCAATATTGTACCATTGACATTTTACACCATTATATTTTGGTCACTTTAAGTACATTAATTGGAAGCACAAATATATAGAATACAGAAACAGCGTTGTTGAATACAGCAAAAAAAAGCTTTTACATACATTCAAAAGGAGACTGAATTATTATGTGTCTGAGCACTGCTTTCCAATTCCTTAGTCACTTAATGTGTTCCTCACATGTGCTTTATCCCTTCTTCACCCATCCTCCAATGAGCTGTAGCAACACATCATTTGGATCCAAATCGCATCATTTCCAGTACATCAATTCTCTGAAATGTCATGTAAGGCAAGAACATTTTACAACATTTGCTAATAATTGGCCGCCTCATTTAGAATGGTATAAGGTGATTTTTTACTTCACATTTCTATTTCTCGAGGAACACGCACGTTCAGTCTGCTCAATATTCTCAAAGTAAACTCAATATCTAGTCTTATTGCAATTAGCTGTGTGCTATTCTTCACACAGCACTCCTGCAGCTCCAGTGAGTCAAAGGCAGGTCTCCTGAGAAAGACGATGAAAACTGGAAATGGGGTGTAAGTACCTCCATGAGAGATTTAATTATCCCCATTAAATATTCAATGATCAATAGAATTTGTTTTAGCCGATCAATAGGTGGCAAGGCCCGAGAAGGACAATGTGCATAAGTTGCTATTTGCATTTCAAAGCAGGTGTCACGTGGCCCCATTGGAAATCCATACCATTTTGTTAGGCTGTATTTCATATTTAGCTGCTTTATCCCCTTATCACTGACTGCTATTGATTCCCTTGCCTTTATTTACTGCCTACAAACTGCCTTAGGTTTAAAATGTCAAAATGTTTTTAGGAAATCCGATATGCCTCCATCGTCCTTCCTCATCTCATATCTAGCTCTCTCTCTCTCTCTCTCTCTCTCTCTCTCTCTCTCGCCCTCTCTTTAATTCCCTTGTCTCTCTCTTTTCCCTCTCTCCCTCCCTCTCTTACTACTCCTCTCAGTAGAGTTGGAAATTAAACCCTGTCATCTTCCCACCCACCGTACAGATCTCTGCTCACTCGGGTGTGAATCTGCACATTATTCAAATAAATATCTCAGAAGTGCCATGGGAATACTCCGAGCCACTTCAAAAGACGCCCCGCCCACCCCCCCAAACACTTCAATGTTGCTTGTTCTTGCCGGAGTCCTATTTTGTTTACCTGAACCGGCTCTAATGGTTTGTTTTTCGCAGCACCTATCACATGTTCAATAGCAACATTTAGCCAAGTTCAAGTGCACGCATGTTCAGGTCTCACCTAGGCATTGATTGTTCTCCAACAGTAAATGTGATGTTGTGAAGTTTCGGTCACAGTCTCTCATCTGTCTCTTAACCCTGCATCATGCATCATTTCTCTCTCTATCTTTGTGAACCTCTTTCTTATCGCTCACTGTTTTTTCTCTGCCACCCCTCCCCTCTTTTCTCTACTGATTCACCTAGTTGGTTTCCCCAGGTGGGTTATTGTGTAAAGATGCCTACTGTAGCATTCAGTGTGTACTGGGAATGAGCCCTCAACAGAAAGAAACACTTTTGATCGAGGGCAATGCAAACACAACACAAAAGCACATGATATACTTATGCACTTATTTACCTTGTACATTTTAATTTCTATTATGTAATAAAATCCACATGCAGTAGAATCATGGGCGCTTGTTTTTATTGTACAATTTGACAACAGAAAAAAATTAATTTGGACTTATAATTGTAAATATTCCAAAAGTAAACATATTGAATGCACAGTGTGTACAACGGGGCTGAAAAGTAAATGAGAAATGTGTGCCATACAAAATTAAAAGTAATGGAAATATGACCTTGGATTATAAAGTACCATAGACTGTATATATAAAGTATACACACAAGTGTTAGAAGCTTTAAGCGGAAACATCTTAAGAGGCAACTTAAACATTGATGAGGGTCACATGACCAGAATGCTGCTAAAACAGCTAAACAAGAGCTGTGTGTATTAATACATACATTTTGAGCCCCATCCATTATGAAATGCAAAACAGAAGCTGGATCATATGTGTTGCACGCTCCTCTCTCTGTGAGCAGGCCTATCTATCAGAGCAGCTCTCAGCCAGGAGAGCACAGAGGTCAGGGAGCTAACCTTCAGAGGCCCGAGGGCTGCATGAAGCATCATCAGTGCCATCAGGATACATGGCCTCAGCACTGCAGCACAGCTGGGGGAAAGAATATCTGGATGAACTGAATGGGTGTGTATGTGTGGATGCATTTGCTTGCACATCTGTAGGTTCCTGGGTGCATCTGTGTTGGTGGTGTGTATATTAGGGTCATGAATGATGGTTAAAATGTAGCTAGCAATAACTCAAAGGCAGAAGGAGAGACATGCTGCCTTGTAGAATTTGTGAGCAGTTTGCACTGATTATTAATGCAATTTATAGTTTTTATATATATAGGATATCGTGTACACACATTATATTCATACAACATAATGAAATAAGAAAATACATTATTCTTAGGTATAATATAGTATACAAATACGTTTAAAGCTATGAATATTCTTATGTATAATAATGAAGTTCAAACACACTAGGCTACACATATGTACCTATTTACCGCAAATACCAAAACACCAAATACCAGACACAACAAAAGAGATTGGTATGCTCATTTGGCTTTCTATAGAGAGGCGAAGTCCCTCCCTTTCCCTTTTTCTATATTTCGGAAAAAGTATGTATTGAAGTCAATGGGGAGAGAAAGATTATCTTTCGATCCCGTTTGAATTGAGCCACGAATTACACATATGATGTTTGTCAATTTAAAAGATAATTTTGCAAGTCAAAAAAATAAAAATGTGTCCTAAAACTGTGAAGTAACACTTTTTTTTGTGTGAAACCGCTCAATGAACTACATCTCCCGTCTCGCACCACACACCAAGACGGCCGTCACGTTGGCACGTTTCACTTCTTTCTTTCAGAATGAGGCGGAAAGTATTAAACGAGGTGAAAATCACTACAAGTCTGGGCATGTTGAGAGCTGTACATACACACAAGGGGAGTTAGTCGGTTCCGTAAGAGCCAGCATGCGGGACCGGGATTCTGGGATTTGTAGTCTTTCTAGTTGCATATTTTTCATAGTCTTATATTTCAACAGTTTTACGACAAACTGTGACTTTTTTGACATGGAAATTATTTTTTAAGATTGACAAACATCATATGTGTAATTCGTGGCACAATAAAAACGGGATCGAAAGATAATCTTTCTCTCCCCATTGACTTCAATACATAATCTTTCTGAAATAAGGTCCCATGGGTCGGAAGTAGATGGGCGGGACTTCGCCTCTCTATAACTTCAAATATCTGATCATCTGTGTATTTGATGCGTTTTGCCATTTTTAACAACACTGTTTTGTTTTTTGAATGGTTCTTCTTTATATTCCTCAAGTGAAATCTATAAAATGCAAATAATATTACCACAACATTATTCATTTATACTTGAGATAAAAATTAACTGGTGCAAGAAGATCTGGATGGACTGAATGAATGTGTATGTGGATGCATTTGCTTGCACATCTGTAGTAGGTTCCTGCATGGGGTCTTGCATATATATATATGGTGTCATGGGTGCATCTGTGATGGTAGTGTGTATATTAGGGTCATGAATGATGGTTAAAATGTAAACTCCAAGGCAGAAGGAGAGACATGCTGGATGGTAGAGTAGAATATGTGAGCTGTTTGCACTGATACAGGCTATTATAGTCAATTTATAGTTTTTAGGACTAATTAAAAAAAAAATGAAAACAATACAATCTTAGTATATCGTGTTCATATTTATACAACATAATGACATAAGACAACAAATATACTCATATTACCACAACAGAAAATTAACTGGTTCTTTTTGCCCATGTGACTAATGCTCCACCTGCCTTTGGAGGAGCGGATCTCACGCGCAGTACAAATGGAGAATGTCTGACGTCAGTATCTTGATAAACGCATGCGCATTGCGCAACGTTCAAAAATGTAAACGCAAGAGGCGCAAAACGGCGGGACTCTTCTGTATACAAGCTACAGGTGAGATGCAATTGCTTTACCATATGAACTTTTGAGTGGGTATTTTCATCAGTGACATTACTAATTCAGCTTGCTAACTAGCTCACCAACATAGCTAACTACATTTAATTTCCTAATTACTTGCTACACAAACTGTGCATTTTTAGCCTGGCTTGCTAGGTTTAATTTAGCTAGCTAGCCTTCCTTTCCATACACTAATGGTGCACGGATGTTTTTTGCCTGTCTTGATAGTTTTAATTAACCAAACTAACCTGCACTTTACTACACTAATGCTGCAAAATAGGTGTTTTTAGCCAGATATGCTAGGTTTTATTAAGCAAGCTAGCATGCACTTCAGTACACTAATGCTGGTGTTTTTAGCCATGTATGCTAGGTTTAGCTTAGCAAGCTAGCCTGCACATCAGTACACTTATGCTAACTATTTTGAATGTTGACAACCAACCTCACACATTTAATTAAGGTGACTACATCTAATGAGCTGTTTAAAAATGAATACATTTGTTTGTATAAAAAAATCCTCAACCATTTAGCTCATAAAATAAAAAAAAAAAAAGCTTTACAAATTCAATGTGCAGATATATCATAAAGAGAAATAAAGTTTTGCATCAGCGGCTGTGTGCCTAACTAACACATTTTTGGAGTTTGTACTACTATGTATCTATCTGACCCTGTGTGTGTGTATATATATATATCTATATCTATATCTATATCTATTTATCTATCTTATCTATCTATTCAATCCCCCTAAATTTCCTTGATCCTCACTCCTGCTCCTCCAAAATGCACAGTGTCGTCGTGATTATACACGTTGGAAGACATCACTCACGATTGGGCCGGGACACTTCAGCTTGTGTGTTTAAATTGCTCCCAGTAGTATCCTCAATCTGTGTGGAAATCAATATGGCTTTTACTGTCACATTGGAGGGGCGGGGACCATGTATTGATGTTCAGATGTCATTTCAGGGGGATTTGATGTTTCTGTCCCCTCTTCAGTGAGGAGATGGCACAATAGATCAACTGATGATGTCTACTTGCTTTCTCCTGGGTTTTACTGGAGCCTTGCATTGTTTAGAGTGAAATCGCAGATGTAGAGTTGAGTCAGAACGTGCTGAGCTTACAAAGAAAAACAAAACGAAAAGGTTTAGGGAAATATTCTATTGATTGTTTTTATCAGGAAAGCTTTTTGAATTAAAGCCGGATATCTTAATAGGGTTATCATCGTAAGCTTCAAACCCAGGACAAGCGCTCTGAACAGACATTATCACATACTGATCACACCACACACACACACACAGGCATTTTATCCATCCACAGGGTTCTCGCGGGGTCTTAAAAAGTCTTAAATCTGATCAAAAACATTAGAAAGGTCTTAAATATGATTTAGATTCTAGAAGGTCTTAAAAATGATCGGATTTGAAAGGTACTTCTGTGTTGCGATCGCGTCTAAATGTGTTTTGGGGGAAATGTCCGGGCTGCAAAGTAACCAGTATGGTAATAGCCTTTCAGTTCCCCCCAACAATTTGTATTGAAATAAATCAACATGGAACCAGTAATAATCACTAACTTTGCATCCCCCCCGGCCCCTTATCGGAGAACACCCAGCTAGTAACCAACCAACCAAGCTTCAGCTAGCGGCAGTCAGACAGGAACTTGGGTATCTTCGAATCTACTTACAAATAAATATGGGGAAGTGTAAGTTCAACCGTATTTGGTTGGAAAACATCGAATTTAGTGCTTGGTTGAAACCAGTGGAGGAAAACGCGTTTGACACACACACACACACGCACGCGCACGCGCACACGCACACACACACTTTTTGTCTAACACACACACACACACTTTTTGTCTAACACACACACACACTTTTTGTCTAACACACACACACACTTTTTGTCTAACACAGTTCTGTGTACTGTTAGGCTGTTATGTTCAGTCATCGTTCTCATGTTGAACATGAATACATTTACTTTGAAAGTAATTATGGGACGTATTTCTTCTTTCATAGCAATTTTCCTTCATACTTTCTTGCCGTGAAATATGTCTTAAATTCTATTCAAAGTGGTCTTAAAAAGTCTTACATTTGAGTTGGTGAAACCTGCAGGAACCCTGCATCCAGTATAGACAATGTTGTGTCTCAATGCACAGTTACTGCTCCTACTTGTAAATAGAATTGTTTTGGTCTTATTTTGTTTTAGTATTGGGAAGATCTTTTATACACAATTACATTTTTTTTAAAGTGAGGGGATTGATGAAGTACTGTAGAATTGAATGCAGTTTATATATTTATAGAGGGTTTTTCACAGTCACAAGATGGAGAAATACCGGTTCAAAGCAGTATTCAATGCTTTGTTCAGATTAGATAAGGCCCATGTCAGAAATGATCATGCTTGTCATATGTCTATTTCCATAGAGGCTTAATCCTCATGTTAATCGTTGTCACATAGCTTATCATATGCTTACAACAGTGTGTCATGCTTTGGGTGAACTCAAACCTGCAACTTATCATCCAGGTAAGCAACATCTTTTACTACGTCATTCATGTTAGGCCTTAATCACATGTTTTGATTACGGTTGCTTGTGGTACGCACTGCAAGCTGACCACAACTTTATGGAAATGTCATAGCTGCTTGACACACCAATGTTAAACCTTTCAGTTGTTATACATTTTTTAATTTTTTTTAATTTACCTAGCAACAGGTGACGGAGCCTTTCTTTGCCTTGCCACTGCATCAGAGAAGAAAGCTTTCTTAATTTAGAGTTCTGTGCTGCCTTACAGTGCAACACAAGCTAACAGAATAAGCTAAATCACCATTCTTGTTTCTTGAAGTTTTCTGTATTATTTACATCGTAATGAGTTTTTGGTTTACATTTCTTGTCAGCTTCCTCATCCTCTTTCATTGACCCCTTTTTAATATGTGGCTTGCTTTATGTTTCGGAGATTATTTTTGTTAAACGCCACCAATCATCTCTTTCACACATCTTGTTCATATATTTATAGATTAAGCTTTTCTCATCAGTCCCAATCCCTCTCTGTTCCTGTCCCACTGTTTCTCTCCAAAGAGTCTCGCCTCCTCCCTGACAGCCCGTGAGCCCTAGAGTCACATTTCAGGCCTGGCTGCTACTTAAAGGCCCATAATCTGCTTGGCGAATGGCTACAGTGTGGAGGCCTGAACGGAAGCAAATTATTCGCTTTAAGGACTCCTGCTGCTGTGGGACCCGGGGCTAGTGGCTGGTGCCGTTAACGTTAACACACACACAGTGTGCAAGCCATCATTATTTATTTAACCCGTTAAGTGTTTAAAGTGGAAGGAGTCCACCGGGAAATGGCTTGGTTGATGAAATTATTCCACATATATATATGGTTAAATCCTTTAGGGAGAGGAGCAAGGGAACATGGAAAGATGAAGCCTACCTACATTTCCAGATGCAAGGCCGATCACATGATAACAGAGTGGGTGCTTAACCGACATATACCTCACAACATGGAAGGAAGTCACTGGGATAATGTAAATGTTTCCTGGGCTGTGTGAGAGATAGTGTCAGACAAGAATAAAATGCAAAAGTGTTTGCTGTTGTGTCAGACAAAGTGTTACCAATTGGCAGTTTCACATAATGCCACTACAACGAACATGAGTTGTTTAGCAAGCCCTGGCTGATGATAAATATCTTCTAGCATTCACAATGTCACTGGCAACCCTGATTCTCCTTGAAGCGCGTGTGTGTGTTGGTTCACACTGTAACTGTGTTTCTGTGTCCAGGTGCATCTGTTTGATCACAGTAATAGACAGAAGGGATAGCATATTTGTTTTCTCTATGTGTGTGTGGAATAAGGAGCCCCAGCATTAATAAGTAATCATTGGATGTTGGCCCTCCCATAACATGTTGGACCAGCAGCACTTGCCCCCAGTAATGACACCATTACAGGGCCGAAGTAGCCAGTTGAGGGTTTACCTCTGGGAATCACTTCTCTGTCTACACTGTGCCTCAACTCCTCGTCATATGGGCTGGGAGATTGTAGTGTTGGACCGTCGGTACACAGATGGTTGCCTTTACTCGCAATAATACTCATCAGAGATGCACACAAAATAAATGACAGTCTTCAGATATGATTCATTAATACATATACACATGTTTAGTAAAATAACCCAAAGAGCTCAGCTGTATCTAAACCCATCTGGGGAGAAAAGGCAGTAACCGAATGCACTCAACAATTTGGGGAATGTTGTGGGGGTGAGTAATTTGTTACAACACAGGGAGAAATGTAGCTACTATTTATTATATAATATAAATATGGTGATGGCAAGTAGAGATAGACAGAGGGATGGAGAGAGAGAGAGAGGGGGGGCTGAACAGATTGAATGGCTAATGAAATGGGTACCTCCAGGCCTGAATAAATTCTCTGGTCTGGCGATCCCCCAGGATGCTGGCCTCCCAGGGAGATTAATGACCACTGGGCCATGGTATAATGAAGTAGTTTGCTTTGGCAATGTGCTTGTGAATTCATCACAGTGTCCACAAGTGGGCTGGCCGAGCACAACATCTTTATAAATCCCCCTCTATCTTCTCTCCCGCTGCTGATTTATGGTTCCGCCACCCCCAAATGGTTTGGCCCCTCTCACCAGACCCCGCCCTGGCTGACCATCACCATCCTGCCGAAATCCAGGTCACTGCACTGATGGGGAAGAAATGGGAGGCTAATCAGATAATGGGAGGTGGAAATGGGCGAGAGTGAGTCTGAATCTTCCATCTCTCAACTCCTCCTCTGCCTGTCTCCATTTCTTTCTATTTAAGCACTCTCATGCACATAGACTTGGATGAGGTGATTCATTCTGTTTTCCGTCGGTATCTTGCGCTTAACCTTAGAAGCGATCAAAAACAATTTGCACATACATGGGTACTAAAGAGGGAATATTGCCACAGAGAAGAGCCATGTTTCTTGGCAAGGGGTGTGTGTGTGCAACAGTGCAGTAGCAGAGCAAGTGTACCAGGCAATGTGTGAC